TACTAAATAGTAATACTATTCAATACTCAGTTATCCGCAGACTTGTATTTGCCTCATTTGTTTTGCCTGTTACTTTACATAGAATATTTTTCAATACCTTTACTTTCAAGGCATCTCTAAGCAGCATTTTGGGTTTAGTTTCTTGATTAAATATAAGAATCTTGCTCTTTTGTTCGGCAAATTGATAGGTAACTGCTTCATCTTACCAATTAAGATAAGCTTGGTGTTAATTCTATCATCTTAATTTCTACTCTAAATTTGCTTTTAAGTTGCCCTTATCCTTATTTCTGACATCTATTATTAGCTACCTTATCTGTATCTTTCTTTATTTTATTTCCTTCTTATTATCTAAGGCTTTTTTATAAGATTAATTGTCAGTTTTTGATTCTTTTATCCAACTATCCTCATACTCAAACTTTCATGTTTCAGTGTATAGGACAAAGATCTAAAAGATAAAAATACAGATCCCCCAGCTTTCCCACAAAAGATTTTGATTTACAATGTCTCAAGTGGAATCTACTAAATTATGAGCATCCCAGATGACCCTAATATAAGCAGTCTATGCTGGACCCTTCTAGGACCATGATGGTAATAATCTATTTTAATTTAAATATATCCTTAATCTTCAACTTCTTGATTCATAAACTCTAACGATAAAGAGTAAATATTGAATCCTTGCTATAAATTAGAAAACACTTTGTCTCCCTTCAACAATACATGTTCTGATTTATTCTTTTTATGCAGTGTTTAGTATCTAGTTTAAATATTTCATTTATCTTTTATTCTATAACTTTAATTTTTGGAGCTGTATACCTTTAGATTGACATGCTATTTTTAGTTCTGAATGCTAGCATACCACTTTTTCCTATTCTAGAGCTCCTTACTTTGAGTACCTTTAATTGGGGCTAGACATTTTTTTTTAACAAGGTTTTGTGGATACCATATTCACTAAGACTTTGGAAACTGTGGATATATCTTTTTTTTCTCCTTTATGTATCAATAATAATATTCTTAGGTTACTTTTTCTCCTCCTCAGAATGCTGTAACATTTTCCATTGTTTTACAAACTTTAATATTACTGTGGAATAGTTTGACACCTAATTTTTCCCCCTTCCTTGTATATCATTCACTATTTCTGAATGGAAGTTTAACAGTGTCAGAAAGATATAATAAGGTGGTAATGAGATTATATAGTTTTTTACCTTAGGACCAAGTATACCCTTTTGGCCTACTGATTAATTTTATCACAGATATGTATAAATATATAATGTCTAGCATATTCGTTAAGAGTGTAGCCTCTAGTCATCTTTTCTGTTCAACCATATCTTAGCTGTCTAACTGTAAGCAAGTTAATTATACTCTCTGGGTCCTAGTTCATCATCTGTAAAATTATAATGACTACAATAAAAAATAATAAGGACTTTGTCATGACATACTATATATAAAGTGTCTAAGAACATAAAAGGTATCCAATAAGTATTCATTATTATTATAATTTTTGACATCAGATTTTTTCTAATCCATTTTATTCCATTCTATGTTAGCACCATGATTCCTCATGTTTAATCTGCTAAACCTGTTTTATAAGTTTTTTATGTTTTTTTTTCTAAGTGGTTTGTATCTCTGTATCTCTTTTTTCTTCATTTGGCATGATTTTCTACAGCCTGAACTCTGTTATTGCCTTGATATTTTGCCACACTTATCCTCTTTTTTTATTTAGATTAAGTTACTAGTTTCTACAAAGATTACTTTGTCTTAATTTTTGCCTTTTTAGTCACCTCTTAGCATCTTGTTTACCATTTCATCCTTGATCTTTTGTTTCATATTCTCATTCATTTTTTGATGAAAAAAAAGAAACTTTTGTTATGGAAACTTTAATTTATCCGGAAGTATTTTTTTCCAATTAGAGTCATTATTCTGTCTTTCATATCCTAAGTTCTTTTCTCTCTCTTCCCAACAAAACAGACACACAGAGTCATATGTAGTTTTCCTTCCCAGAGGCCACACTGTTTCTTTGTTTAGATGTTTCATTTTGATGTAGACCTTTCTATAGGGCTTTTCTATTTGTTCAAATATGGCATGGGTAGATTCGTCTGGACTTGACTTGCATGAATATTGGCCCTGCTTATCCGTCTCTGTTTCTTTGTAGAGCTTCAGCTTGAATTAAGTGTTGATTGTTTTTGTTTTATTTTTCTATTGCTGTTTTATTCTCTATGGCTTCTGAATGGAGAGGAGAAAAACTGCACACAGTTTTTGTATTCTTCTACCTTTCCTTTCTAACACTTTTGCAAGTGGACACAGGTACTAGTTTTCTAGTTCTCTGTCATTTTAAGGGCTTGGTGACTCTGTGTGTATGTGTGTGTGTGTGTGTGTGTACATTCCCACACTCTCACATGGTGCAAGTGGGTATATAAGGTATGGCAAAACTTTCCTAGGGAATAACTTGGAAATATCTATCACTATTTTAAAGGCACATGCTTTTTTTACCCAGAAATTCTATTTTAAGAAATATATCAGGATTCAATGGTGTACAAACATGTCAGTAATGGAATGCTTAGAGTTGCTTATAATGGAAAACCACTTAGAAACAATGCAAATGTCTAACAATAGGTGCTCATTACATAAATTATAGTAAATATATCAATAAAATGTTTTGTTTCTTTTAGAAATGATTTATACTTGAACATATAAAAAGGCAAGTGTAAAATAGCAGTACACAGAAGAGTGTAATTATTTATATACAACTATGTCACTACCTGTGAGTAAAAGGCAATGTTAACAGTGATTATATCTGGGTGTCGAGGTGTAGATGGTTTTCATTGCCTTTTGTAGATTAAAAATATCATGAATTAGTTTTATAATTAGAAATATAGTAATAGGACTAAAACAAGAAAAAAAAGAAAAAACTGAGCTACCATCTCTATAATCTGCCATAAAAAAAATCTGCTACCATCTCTATAATAACAGCAACTACTTATTGGGTGGTCTTGGTCTGGTACTATATGAGGCCCTAAACATAGGTATCTCATTTAATCCCCTCAGCAACTTCATGAGGCAGGAATTAGTGTTTTACTTTTAAGCTGAGAAACTTGAAGTGTGGAAAGTTTAAATATATCTAATGTTAAATCTTATATAAGACATGCCGAAATGAGACCCCAGTTTGGTCTGGCTGATTCTAAAAGCCACCATCTTCCCAGTGGACCCTACTGTCTCTGAGGATTGTTAAATACATCTTGATGTTTTTACAGGTTACAGATTTAATGGCTCATTACTCAAACTTTTGAACACTAGTCCTTATTTCATATACTAAGTTTGAACTTAAAGGAGAATTCAAAGGACAGAGTAGAGACATATCCAACAAAGAAAGGTATACAAGCAGAAGACATTAAGATTCATATTTCAATGTAAATCATGGAACATTTTCTTTAACATGTTTTATGAAACAGGTAAAGAGTTCTAGATAAATGAGGGTCTAAATCATGCTATCAGGGAGTATCATTAACTTTCTCAAGTCATCAGCTGAAAAATTTAATGCACCAAAGAGGCAAATTTTCTTTAACGTAGTATTATGATCTAGGGATTTTCCTAATTTTCACATAACTTTACCCAGTCACTAAAACAATCATGCAGTACTCTTTTGACTTTTGTTTTGAAAAATACAATATTTTTATCATACACTGAAATTCCAATGGTCAAACATGTTTTTTTTTTTTTTCTAAATGATTAGCATTCTACCCAGAATACTGCCCAACCAAATAAGTCTAGTTCAATTTCAACAAGACTAGCTAGAGTTAAAAACAAGAACAGCAATAACACAAATGAGATAGCCTGAGACAACAGATATGGTAGGGGCTGGATATTTAGGGGACTGGGACTAAATTAGTGATGGGAAAATTCCAAATATCTCTTATCCTGGAATCTACCTAATGCCATTTATCAGACTCTGTTCTATGTATAATACAACAAGAAATGAAGTTCAAAGGCAGCTTAAAACAAAACAGAGTAGCAATTTATTAGATAAATCACACCTTTCTCCCACTCTAAAGGCAATAATAATTTGTAATTAATGAACCTGTGGTCACAGTAGTAAAATTAGGGAAGAAACATGCTACTCAGAAGATACAGTAACAGCTCGTCAAGCATCAAGTCCTCATAGGAAAGATTTATGAGCATTGTCATTCACTGCCTCACCAAGAAGCAGAAATTAAAAAAAAAAAACAGAGTTGGATAAGCAGTGGGTGTTAAAGTAGAATGGTGACATTTCTCCTCCTCCTCCTCCTCCTCCTCTTCCAGTGTAGAGGGCAATATGAATGACAATTTGCCAATTAAGACTGCAAATACATGAGGATTCAGAAACTAAACTTGAAGTATTAGCCAAAAAAAGGTTTTCCTTAGAGTTCATTGAAGTCAAGAATTTTAACAAGGAACAATCTCAGTTGTTGCCTTTTATTTATCATTATAATAGTGCTGAGTCTACCAAGGTAATAGTTATTTGTAAAATATATAATGATAAAGCAACAAGGACTTGATGCAAACAGAACATTCCTAGACATAAACTAATAATCTAGGACAGAAAATATAGGCTCCTAAATTCTGACCCAACTAACAGAAGGAATGTATAATTCTCTACCTAGTCCACTCACCAAAATACATACAACAAACACTAAGAAATTCACACAAACACAGTGTGTAATGACATTCTATTTTCTCAACACAAATGAAAAGGAATCTAAAAATATGATGCACTTAGTTTCTCTCTCTAGCACAATAATAATTGAGTGGAACACTGAAGCTTAGGCTCATCATAGTTATATTAAAAAAACAACAACAGGACAACCTCATTAGGGTTTCATGAAAACATTTAACTTATTTCCAAGTCTCTGTGGATATAAGTTCATTGGTTATCTGCAAAGACCCCATACATTATTTTACAGGGAACAGCTAAACAAATTGGCCCCAAAAGAAATACAAATAAATGGATTAAAAACTGGCTATCTAACCGTATACAGAGAGAAATCGTAATTGGTAGTCCGTCTAGTTGGGGAGAGGTTTCCAGTTGGGTCCCACAAGGATCGATATTGGGTCCCATTTTGTTTAATATCTTTATAAAAAATCTGGAAGACAAAGTAGAGAATGTGCTAATTAAGTCGAGTGATGCCACTAGATTAGGATTTGTGGTTAAAGTAAATTGGATATAGATAAATACTACTAGTCTTTAGAAAGACTGATGTGAAGAGAGAGGGTTTTGAATCAGTTGTATTTTTTTAATCTATAATTTAAAAAAAATCTAATTCTAACCACTAGAAACAAATAGATTTAAAAGACTTTAGTGGCTTTGCATTAAAAATTTAGGCACTATGGATAAAGGCAACACAGAGTCACAACACTCATGAATGCAGAATAAAGAATGTTCCTCAAATGGAGATCTTTTTGGCACAGCTTTATTTGGAAAACTGGTGGTTGTGGGTCTCTTAATGCAATCAAGGTATTGGAGGCTTTACAATACATAAGAGTCAAGGTGGTGAAAAGACAGGAATAACTAAATTCTCTCTCTCTCTATATATATATCTATATACACACACATATACATATATACATATACATATATATACACACACTTAATTATTGGCAGCAAAATAAACAATGAACAACATAAAGCTTAAAGGAAAGAAAAGAGAGTTGAAAACTTGAAGGGTAAGCATGAAAAGTAGGTGGAATTAATTAAGAGCAAATTTTGTAAAGAAACATATACAAACACATACACACATACATACACACAAATAGAAGAATGCAAGGGATAATAGGGTGCACTCTCCTAATACTAGGGTAGAGATTATATATATATATATATATTTTTTTTTTAAAATAAACAACTCCATAAGACACTTGAAAAAATGTTCAGTAGCTCTTCTTGTTGCTTTGAGGTTTATTTAAAATTCTTTGTATTTTACAACTTAAATTGTTACTTGGAGACGATGTCCATGATACTACTTGCGGACCAGGGACTGTCGTGTGTAAACAGGTTTTTTTTTCCAGTGAAGTCAACTGAATTGAATATATGGAATTATGTGCAATGAGCTTTTAAATACTTTTTTGCACTTGCTAGCATAGTAGAATGTATAGTAGATATAAACTGGAAAATCCAGATTAAGTCTCAGAAATTGTGTTAGCTTTGTTATGCAACCTTGGATATTTTACTGTCCTTAAGATCCTTAGTTTTTGCATCAATCAAATGAATTAAATGGCAGGAAAGAATTGCTCTAAGAGCTGCATATACTCTTGTTAAATTGAAAACTTACAGGAAACCAATACAGAGAAGAGAGTGGAAAAATGGGGATGTATGTCGTTGAGGTAAGAGTGGGCTCCCACCTGCCTAGGCTTCCCATTTTCATCCCTCCCTGACCTCAGGACAGAGCACAATTTAAAAATCACTTTGGAGCACACTTTAAAAATCATGATCTGACATGCTGTTTCTGTCTCTAGGAAACCATGAATGGAAGCTGAAAAGGTCAATGCCTCTCCTACTGACTGATTTTTCCAGAGTATCCAACAATACTTAGTTGATTATATGTTCCCCAGCTTTTGGGAGAAAGAAAGAAGAAAAGAAAGAAAGAAAGGAAGAAAGGAAGAAAGAAAAGGAGGGAGAGAGGAAGGAAGAAAGGAAAGAAGGAAAGAATGGAAACAAATAAAAAAATAAAATTACAGTTGCAAAGAATAGACATTCTTGATAAGAAATAGAGTGGCATTATTCATGATGCCAACACAAAAGAAAGTGATGTGCAATCAGAGCCCTATGTAGATCTCCTCTAGCCTTTCATTGCTAGAATGAAAAAGAAACCACAGGAGTCTGGAATGCAGGATGGTCACCTTTTTGTTTTAATCAAATAAAGAGGGCCTAAGAAATGATAAAGTTTGGAGTTGATTGGCAATAGATTTTATAGCTAATACCTGTTGAAAAATGATTTCCTTGCACTGACTTTAAAACTTCTAACATGAACCATTCTTCTGTAGATAGTAGTGTCTTTTAGGAATGGGGTTGGACCCTATATGCTGTGTATTTACTGGTTAAAACATAGAAACCAGCATTGGTGATACATCTGGAGTCTGTAAATTTGACTTTAAAAAGTAAGAATTCCTATCATTTATAAATTTTATTAGTATTTACCACTTACTGAGTGTTTAACATATATTGAGAACTATATTATCCATCCTCTCTTTACATTATCACAAATAATCTTCATAATAGCCTATCAGAGAAGAATTAACCCCATGTTTAGATGAAGAAACTGAAGGGTCAGTGGCTTACTTGCTTATTTGTTTGTTTATTCCCTATTGTCACACAACTGTAAATAAATGGTAAATACTGAAACTGACTCCAAAATACCTTTTTAGAACTGTTGTGCTAAATTATAACTTCTGATGTCTTGATATTATACATCTTGATTAAAGAAGGTGGAGAAACCACTTGTGTTTAAAAGTTTTAAAAACATGGGGCGCCTGGGTGGCTCAGTCGGTTAAGTATCTGACTTTGGCTCAGGTCATGATCTCACTGTATGTGTTTGAGCCCCACATTGGGCTCTGTGCTGACAACTCAGAGCCTGGAGCCTGCTTCAGATTCTGTGTCTTCCTCTCTCTCTGCCCTTCTCCTCTTCCTCTCTCTCTCTCAAAAATAAACAAACATTTAAAAAAAGAGTTTTAAGAATAGGACAAGCATCTTACATTTTTCTGGGTCTCAGTTTCTCATGTTTGAAACTAGAGGGTTGGATTAGACTAGGGTTTTTTTTTTTTTAAATGTTTTATTTATTTCTAGGAGAGAGAGAGACAGCGTGAGCAGGGGAGGGTCAGAGAGAGAGGGAGTCACAGACTGAAACAGGCTCCAGGCTCTGGGCTGGCAGTCAGCACAGAGCCCGACGCGGGGCCCGAACCCACGAACCGCGAGATCATGACCTAAGCGAAAGTCGGACGCTCAACCGACTAAGCCACCCGGGCGCCCCTAGACTAGGGTTTTTAACCTCAGCAATATTCTCTTAGGAGGATGCTGTTCACTGAGCAGGAAGATGTTTGTCAGCATTCTTGGCCTCTATTCACTAGATACCAGTACTAATCCCCTCCTCCCAGTTTTGACAATCCAAAATATCTACAGACATTGCCAAAGATCCTCCAGGGGAAAACTGTCTGAGTTTTAAGAACTACTGTACCAAGGGAGCCTGGGTGGCTCAGTTGGTTAAGCATCCAACTTCAGCTCAGGTCATGATCTCATACTTTGTGGGTTTGAGCCCCACGTAGGGCTCTGTGCTAACCACTCAGAGCCTGGAGCCTGCTTCAGATTCTGTGTTTCTCTCTCTCTCTGCCCTTACCCCACTCGTGCTCTGTCTCTCTCTCTCAAAAATGAATAAACATTAAAAATAATAAAAAGAACCATTGTGTTAAAAGAACTCTGATATCATTTTTGTTCTCTGATATTCTATGCTCTGAATCATGGACGAGCGGCCAAGAGGACGAGTTTTTCACTACGGTGGGTACTTGCCCAGGGAGCCATCTTCTACCTCTCCATCTCAGTACATTGAATTTAAAACTCTCTGAAGCTCTCCAGGTTCAGTTTGCTATAAAACTGCCACTCTCTGGCTTTTAAATTCATCATTTAAATGCAAATTGGCACAAAAAAAATAGGGTAGATGAAAGTTAAAAAGAGATCAGATGTTTGCTTATTAAGTCAGCTTTTCATTAGGGCAATTGATTTAGATTCAGTTCAAATGCAGTCCTATAAGATAGGGTTATTTATTAACTGACTTAACTAAAGCTATTATATCAGAAAAATCATAAAATGGCTTTTAAAGGCATTCTTTCCTTTGTCAGCCTGACAGAGAACCTATTGACAGATTCTAATAAGTGAAATGTCAGGCACTGTAAAGAAATTGACAATTTTCTAGACCTGTGGGTCATTAGTTATCAAAGGCCATACTTAAAATTTGTATCATTACAAATATCATCTACTGGTGAAGAAGTGCCTTTGATTAGAGAATCATCCGAGAGAGAGAGAGAGAGAGAGATAGAGAGAGACTGACCGACCTACAGATATCTGAAAACATTAGTGAGTTAAAGCTTTCATTGGGTTTGCTCCAATAAAACTCAAATGTAGAAATTATTTGTGTGGTGCTATCCTTGGAATTCAATTGAAGTTAGAAATATTAAAATGTCAATTAAGTAATGATTGATCGGGTTAATAATCCCAGATGGTTTAAAAGTATTACTGTTTTCCTAGTTTTGTCACTATGAACTATTTATTACATTCAACACTATGCACTATAAACACTGTTTATGGCAGATATTAAAATGAGACTTTGTTTTTTGGTCTTTATTGAAGGATTTAAATTTGTGCTATGGGAAAACACATATTCTGTTTAGTACAGAAAGTTTGATAGGAGAAGCCAGGTGAGGTAACATTTGGGTAGTAAAGAGGGTTGGACCCATTGGGGTTGCTGTCAAAAACCTCTAAATGGAGATTCTAAATCTTGGCTGCAAATTAGAAAAGCATTATGAAGATATTTTAAAATTATGATACCCAGGCATACTCCAGCACATTAAAGTAAGAATTTCTGGGAAAGGAATTCAGGTTTCAGTACTTGTTAATGCACTCTCAGTCATTCAGTTGGACATCCAAGGTTGAGAATCATTGCCTTATAGACTAAACAGTGTTTACAGCTGCATGGAAATTGTTCTTTGATTATGTGTAACTTAAGCAAGACGGTGGTGGGGTGCCTGGGTGGCTCAGTCGGTTAAGCAAGATGGTGGTCTCTCATAGCCACATGCTTTGGTGATTAAGTGGTTACATGTTCAAGCATTAAGTAATTATCTGTCACTTAAGGAGAAAATTATTTTTTTTTTTTTACCCTCCACTTCTCTTTTTATCCTTCTGATGACTTCAAAGAGAAAACCTTCATTTATTGCTGGTGGATCTTTAATATATGTCTGCACTTGTCAGTCTCCCTTTTAACAAGGAGAATAGGCTCAGGCCCAGAGGTTTCATCTTAGTGTAGCCTAGAATTCAATTCAATAGTTTTATGTTTATTACTTAAGATTATCTTCCAGCAAGTAATACTGATTTAAGTGATACAAAATTTTCTTTTTAAATAATTTAAAGTAAATGTACATAAATAAAAGGTATAAAATCGTACACATTATACTCATACAAGGAAAAATTCACAAAAGAGTTCTCAGATGACTATGGTTTTGGCAACCTAGTGTTAAGGTAAAGGGCATCCAAATGGATCATAAGTTTTGGACCTAACTGTGCCTCCATCACTAATTAACATTGTGATTTTGGAAAATTTACCCATTCTCTTCCCTGGGCCTTGGTTTCCTTATTTGTTAAATATGGCTATTAACCTATATTGTTGGCATTCTTCTATGAGTTTAAGAATCAAAGAGGGCTTGTCCTCTGAATTTACCTTGTTGACATCCAGGCGCATCTTCTCGTTGTTGGCACTAGCAGCTTTCTCAGCTGCTTTCTTTTGGCGCTGGGGTCCCCTCCCAAAAAAGATGTAGTTGACCAAAGCATATTCCAGAAGGGCCATGAAAACAAAGACAAAGCACCCCATCAGGTACATGTCAATGGCCTTCACATAAGGGATTTTAGGAAGAGTCTCCCGCAAGTGGGTATTGATCGTAGTCATTGTAAGAACAGTTGTAATTCCTGAAAATAATGACAGAGTTAGATTAGTAATGTTCCTGTTTCCTTGCTGCTTTCATCATATTCGAAAGGCTAATTGTGGTCTTTCACTCATTCATACATGCCACAAAATACCTTACTGTTACATACCTACCCTGTGATAAGCCCTAGAGACATTTAAATCATTAATTTATAGTAACATTTATCATTTTGAAACATTTCCTTTATCTATATTTTTATATTTATAGTTATGTATCTAGTGAGAAGCTAGAGATGTGATTTAAATGTCATGGTAGACCCGTGTGTAGGGTGAGCATCAAGGATATGAAGACGACCCTAGTTGAGCCTTGTGATGCGGCAGGAGAGAGGTCAGGAAATGGAGACTTTGGAGCTGAGTACTGAAGGATGAGTGGGAGATATCCGAGTAACAAAGGACTGGAGGTCAAAAGTGAATGTAGAGAGAGCTTTTATAAAGGGGTGCTTTGACGGGGGGTTGAAAGTACACAGCCCATCAAAAGCATCCCAAGAAAGTCAATGTGGGTACATTTTAGAATATGCCAGTAAGCATGGTGAGGAGAGTGAAGATTAAGTAAGGCTGCAAAATGGAGAGCCATATATACAGGCCCTAAGGTGGGGTCTGAACTTAAATCTGAAGGTGAGTTGGGGTCACTGACCACCTTCAAGCAGGGAGACATATGGACAAATTGTGGTTAGGGAAATCATTCTTGTAGTAGTGTGGAGGATAGAGAGAAAATATAGACAGGAATAAAGAACACCAGCTAATAGTTTTTCAGAATAATCTAAGTGATAAAGAGGAAATGAATCAAAAATAATCACAACAGTATTGAAATCAGTGAATGCATTATACAGATGGTATGTACAAATGATTATAAAAATTTGGAAGCTGGAGATGACGGGTAGCAGAGAAGCAGATGTCTAGCCCTCATGTTTCTGGATTGGGCAACTAGGCATGTAATGCACAGTTAAATAATATAGAAGCATTACAAGATTCTTTATGGGAAATGGCATAGTGGGTCAGATTATTATTGTTCATCCCACTGAGTTGTCATCTTCAACAGTGAAGAGTAGTTTCCCTTTATAATTGGAGGGATCGACAGAGATATGCTGGGCAAAAGCACTGGGAGTCCAGAATCCTGAGTGTGACAAGATCCACATTTGTAGTGAAACAGTGATGTGAAAATAGCCCAGAGATCAAGATCACACAGATGGGAAGTTGTTTAATCAACATTTCAATGGGGGTCTCTCTGACTCAGAAAGCTGTCGGTAACCACTATCCAGTAACACATCCCAAAAGTTAAGTTTCATTTCCATGATATTTTGGGAACATGTTTTTTGATTTAACTTGATCTCTCTATAAAGATGATAATTTTTGTCTTGTTTTTCTACACGCTCATAAAACAGCTACAGAAAAAATAAATCTGTGCATCCGATTCTGAGCATGGCCAGAAAAACCCTGTTCTTGTTTTAGATCTCAGTGTCTTAGAGTTTTTGTATCTTCTCTATATCAGTCATTTGAAACATCTTCCAGTTTCACCTTTTGTTTCATTATTTCAACTTCAGATTATACTGTATATGTATATTGTAAAAATGACAATATTGATTTTTCTATCTCAATCTCATTTTAAGATATCTCTGACCAAGTAATAAATTACTCTCATCGAAAGACATTTTACATATTTCTTTTAAAAAGCATATAATTTATTTATTTTTCCAGTAATGACATAAAATTATAAACTTAACAGTAGATTTTTACCTTGGAATAACAGGATATTTACAAAATCCATTCATTACTTTATTCAGCAAATATTTACTGAACATCATTCATTGTGTGAGGTATCACAGATAGAATGGAAGCAAAATTAGATATGGACATTTCTTCAGTACCATGAATAAAAAGGAAATCACAAGCCAAATAAATATAAATTATAACTACAGTTGGTTTACAAAGGGAAGCTCTCTATATTTTAAGAGAATTTATCACAAGGGACTGGATTCAGCCCAGGAGGTCATTACTTCTCCCTTCCATCCTTGAACCACAGTCTAATCTCAACACAGCAGCCAAAGTTATCCCTTTCAATCTGCAAGCAAATCATGTCACTTCTTTGCTCAATGACTCTGAAATTTCACTCAGAAGAAAAGCAAAGTCTTTATCATGGTTCTGGAACTGCTTCATAATGTTTTAGTCTCTTCTCCCCAACATTATCTTGACTCCTGAGCTCACTCTTGCATTCACCTCACTGGCTACGTCACTAACATCTTTGGCACTTTCCTACCTATTTTTAATAGGCTGGAATATTTCCATCCAGACATTTAAGTGACTCTTTATCTTCATGAAAGTTTTGTTCCATTGATAATTTCTGGATGAAGTTGACAATGATTATTTTAAACTGTTTCTCCTGGCATACCCTACTGCTCTCACCTTGCTTATTCCTTCTAGAGACTTATGTATTACAGAGTTCACATATTATAAGTAAAATAAATTTATTGGCTTTGTACTGTTAGAACATAACTTCCATAAGGGGACTACTTTACCTCTAGTGTCTAGTATGTCTGGCACATAGTAGGTATTCAACAAATATGAATGAAAAAATGAATGACTTCTCTAAGGAAGTGATGATTGAATTGATACCTCATGGTGCAGAAGGTAACAGTCCAACATTTTCAAGAGATTAGTCAGAACTCAAAATAATAAAAGTTGTGTAAAAAATGATTCTTTACTATATCTGGAGTTAGTAACATAAAAATGTTAATGAAATATAATATATTCTCTTCCTCTGGTATTATATAGAAAAAATCAAACATAAGCGATGCTATGGATGATTTCCCAGTATTCTTACTTTGTTGTTTTCTGCCTGCCTTCTACCATGCTACTCCAAAATCTTAATAAGAATTTAGAAGCCTTTTTGCTCATCTATTAGTTACAGAATACATTTCCTTGTCTCCTGCTCAGGTAAAAAAAAAAAAAAAAAAAAAAAAAAAAGATGGAAGAGAGCTCCATTCAGATAAGGAAGCACAGTATGCAAATTGAACAATTATCAAGTGATATTACGTGAACTATGCTTCAAAAAATATCAAATTGATGGGACTAATTTCATTACCAACTGCTATATGGTTAGCTAATTTTGACATGAAAGAGTTTTAATTTGTATTTAATTGATTTAATGCTGAATCAGATAACTCGAAGTCTCACAGACCAATTCTTGTAATGTGCATAGCCCAGTCTTGTCATGCATCACAAATACCAGGGTAAGGAAAGTTCATGAGTGGACATGCATGTGCATACACACACATGCACACAAGTGTGCACACACAGAGACAAGCCCCACAAGCAGTTAGAAAATGGCCTACCTAATGCCACTCTTGCAGCTGATGCATCATAATTAATCCAGAAGGAGACCCAGGAGAGGATAGTGATCAGGATGGAAGGCATATATGTTTGCAGAATAAAGTAACCAATGTTTCTCTTAAGCTTAAAGCTGAGGGACAACCTGGGATAGGAACCTAGAAAGGCAATTTTAGAACATCATCATTATCAATCAATATTTATAGGATACTTTCCTTTCTAGGCCCATAAATAAGTTTGTAAATTGTCCTTAAATTCAACTTGAGGTCCTGGTAAAGGGCACTTGCTCCTAAAAAAGTAGTATGGGAACAGTGGGCTTTTAATTTGCAAAGGTTACTTGGTGTTAAGAACATCCATACTCATGAGTAATTAAAAGAATTCCAGTTCTTCCCTACTCAGGCTCCTGCACTGGATCAAGGATACTCATTCTCTACAACTATGAAGACAAGACAGTTTGGTACAGTCCCTTTGTTCCCTCTCAGTTGTTTCTCAACAAGGCCATCCTGTAAGATGTTTTGTTTTTATATTTGTATATAAGAATAAGGTTGTACACTCTGATCATATTTTAGGCATCTCTTCACAAACCCCAGAATTCATTGTAACCCTGGGATCAATGGCAAAGCTTCAGGTATACAGTAACTCCCTCAAATTGTGTGAAGGTTTCACATGGATGGATTATATGTTTTCTAATTCCACTGATTCCATCAAAGTTCCAAAGGGGTGCCTGACTCCTCAAAAGGCAGAGAATCAGAGTTTCCAAAGAATATTTTTGGAGATAAAACTAAAGGATCAGAATCCTGAAATGGAGTCCTTTGATTGTGATGATCTAGGAAATTACTCTTTAAACAAGATATGTAACTAAACATCGTTGTAGAATGTAAAAAAGTCACATTGATGAATCGTGTGTGTTGGGGAGATATTAATAATCAAAAGAAGCCTTGTCTAGCCTTCGTGGGCTCAAGTTAAGTGTTGTAATATTTAAGTAAGAATATTTTAAATATTAACTCATTTCTAGAGTCTCAGGGACTCAGAGGACCTCAACTTTAGGAAAAGTTTCTGTTGTTTGTTTTTTTAAAGCTAGGGGCTACATTTTATTCTTACTAAGTTATACAACTCTTACTTGAACTAGTTTGTAGGTAAAGTGCCTGAGTCTTTGGCAGAAGGGCAATTAAAAATGTATAGTTACAGTACTAGCTCTTTCTCTGCCTGGGGAGTCCATTCCAAAAAGAAAAACATAAACAAAGAAATATTCCTGTGGGTTTATTGTTTCCCTCCTTAGTGTTCTTTCCTTTATGCAATGAAGTATTACTTTCCTAAGCTTTTTCGTTAAAATTTTGTGCTGGTGAAACCAAGTTTGACAACCAAAAAGCTCAATGCTAGAAGAGTAACAATGGAGAAAACATTAGGATCATCTCAATATCTGGAAAGGCTTTTAGTTCCAAAACAGTAGGCTATTGTTTAGAAATTAAGGCTCCATAAGGAAGTTCTTAACCTTTGAGGACAATGGGGAATTCTATTCCATTGCCTCTGGAGAATTTCATTGTAGTGAGATCTGAGTGAACTGTCTCTCCCGTGTATTTTTCAAAGGAGTATAATCAGTTTTGTAAGATGCATAGAGTTGGGGGAACTCTGACCAATGTCTTCATTTCTCTTTCTGTATTCTGTCTCTGACATTTAGCCCAGTCTTTGGTAGATGACAGGCATATAGCTAACCCTCTCAGCTTTGTGGGGGTGCCTTCTAGGAAATAGCTGCATGGGCCCTGAATGACCAATGGGGTTGGTGGGAACTGAAGATTTGCAGCAGATCCAAATCTTCCAGTCATCTCTTCCTGGGACCCAGTTGTGATATAAGTGAACCCTTTTGACAAAATAAGCTGAAGCCCCTTTTCCCTTAACCCTCTTCCTTGATACAGACCTGTGGAAAAAACAACCTTCTTGGTGATAAGTTTGTAATCAACAATGGAGAACTGTGGAAGTTCAATCTTTGTCACTCCTGTTACTGCATTATCATCCCCACGCCAGTAAAACTCAATGTCATCGGTGGTGTATCCGTCTGTAAAAGGAAGCACACACACACAGATACACAAAACAGAAAACAAAACAGAAAGAGTACTTGTTTACACGATGAACTGTGTTAATGATAACAGCCACAGCTAAAGGCTATTATGCGTTAGGTATCACGCTAAGCACCTGAAGTATATTACTGCATTTACTTTTCACAACAGTCTCATTAGGCCCACATGAGGCTATGAAGGTTTAGTGAAATTAACAGCTTGCAAGTAGGAGGTAGTATATAGTTCTAACTTCCACTCATTTTGTAAAACACTATTACATTATTACATCACCCTGGATAGTATTCTAATAGAAAACAAAAGAAGGTAAATATCATTCAAGTTATCAGCACAGTATTGAATGCTATCAATCCCCCATATAAAACTTTTGAATTACAATATATTTGGGTTTCAAGTCAGAAGAGATTATGAAGATGTGAGTCATGATTTTTAAAAAATATTCATAGAAATGACCTCCACATTTGGTTTTGCAGCATATCTAATTCCAAAAAGCTACCCATGCCCAAATAACCTTAAACAGCAGTAATTCCAATAATTTTAAAAGTAAAGTCAAATGTATTGTGTGCACTATAAAGGCACAGTGCATTTAGGAGGCTTGTTTCAACTTTCTCAACAATTATTTCTTGAGCACCTACTATGCTCATCAGTGCACAGTTCCTGGGGACAGACCTCTGTACAATAAAAACAAGTCCTCTGTTATAATGATACTTTCAACCCATGAGGCAGAATAGAATAAGCATACATATCTTGGTGAGTAAGCATACATGTAATCGCAATGAATAAGCTCATTTAGATTATAAACAGAACTATACAGAGAAGCATGCAATGAAATCCATTAACATTAATATTTTACAAACACATTCACCCTCAGAGCATATCCCACCTTCAGAGCATAAATTATATTTGTATATCATATGTCTTAAAAGAAATTTTACATCCAGAGTTGAATTTTTACAAGTCTAAGAAGTAAGCAGGTCAGATATTGCTCCTCAATTTAAAGTAAACAAACAAATAAACAAACAAGCAAAAACATAAAAAACCAAAAAAATGATTTCAACTTTCTTAATATGGCCATGGGACTCCTCATAGTCTAGGACTTCGTCTCAAATATAATCCCATTTCTCATTGGTTACTTGCACACATCTCTCAGTTATGAAATTGTTTAATCAATGACAATCTCATATTTGCTAAGACAGTTTAAAATAACAAAAGAGGGGCACTTAGGTAGCTCAGTTGGTGGAGCTTCCAGCTTCAGCTCAGGTTATGATCCCAGGGTTCCTGAGTTCAAGCCCTGCACTGGGCTTGCTGCTGTCAGCACAGAGCCTGCTTAGGATCTTCTGTCCCCCTCCCTCTCTGTCCCTCCCCTGCTTACACTCTCTCTCTCAAAAGATAAATAAAAATTAAAAAAATAAAAATAAATAAAATAAGAAAAGAAAGGCAATTGGCTCTTAGAATTAAGCTAGATGATTAGAAGTGCACTGTAAAATTGGATTTGTGGTATATAAACACGAAATAAGGTATTTATGAAACAAGAAGGCCTTCATTTTCTAGGAAAAAAACTGTCAAATGCTGCCATCTTCAAAGGAGAATGGGAGTAGGTCAACTCTTACATTTTCAATAAAAACTAAGCCTAAATTAGTAAAGAGTATACTTCTGGTTCTCCAGCTTCTTTTCTTCAGTTTTTATTTTCTTTTGTCCATTTCTACAAATCTTATCACAGAAGCTCTCTGTGTAGAGGCATGGGTATACCTAAGGCATTTCAATAATTGTATAGGAGATGCCCAATAATTGTTTAATAAGTAGAAATATTATTATGAAATATAGATTTTTGTCAAAATGCCAGCTATTTGACATGTATTTACTAAGTAATACCTGGCAGAGGAGAGACACTTGGGATATACTGTTGAATTAATAAAAGAATTATTTCATACTTGTGTGGATTTGTGTGATGGTTGCTTATCCAAATGCTTGGCATTGTGGAGGTATTCATCATGTCTATACCTCTGTCTCTTGATCCCAATACAGTACATGGCACATAGTTGTATTAGATAAATATCTTCTGAGTGAATAAAAAAAGACACTCAAAGATAACACTGCCCTTAAGAAAAATCCAAAGGTTCTTTATTATGTATTTATCCTTATGTAATAGCTCAGCAATTTGCTTTTCTCTGTTCTCCATTTCTTAATCTTTAAATTGTAGCAACAAACAATAACAACAACAACAATAATAGAAGATACTTCATAGAGTTGTTATGCAGGAAAAACAAGTTATTACTTATAAAATGCTTAGGGCAGTATCTGATAGATAATGCTTAAAAAGCTTAGTTAATACTTTCTTTTTAAATAAGAATTATTTTAAATGAATTATAAACTCATATTTAGTTGCATGTCACTTGGCTTCTATTTTATGAACACTTGAACACATTTACACAATGAGAAACTGTGTCCAATGACACAGAACCCTCCAATATGTTTGGAAATTGAAAATGGAACGTTTGAAGTTTATTTTTGATGCCCAAGATTTTGGAAACTGACATAGCAGAGCAGCATATTGTAACACTTCTTAGTTACTGCTGATCTTAAAAATCCCAACCTTCTTGACTTCATTTTGGGTTAACCAAGTATAGAATGTTGCCAATGGAAAGCAAATGTATGCTCTTGCATCACCAATTTCTGAAGAAGAAAGACCAACAATTCATAACAGTGCCAGGGTGGTTAAGTTCAAAAGCCAGCTCAATATACTGTGTAGGATAAACTAAAAGCAGACCCAATTTATTTTTTTCCTTTTCTTTTTCCTTTTCTTCTTACTTTTTAAAAATATTACTTATTTTTGAGAGAGAGATAGAGACAGCATGAGCAGGGGAGGGCCAGAGAGAGAGGGGGATACAGAATCTAAAGACAGGCTCCAGGCTCTGAGCCAGCTGTCAGCACAGAGCCTGATGTGGGGCTTGAACCCATGAATTGTGAGATCATGACCTGAGCCGAAGTTGGACGCTTAACAGGCTGAGCCACCCAGGCGCCCCTTCTTCTCCTTATTTTTAAAAAATCTTCTCTGAAGGAATATTTAACGGTGTCTCAAAGTGATTAAAAATAAACAAAAACATATGCAAATACATATGACCTGACTTTTACAGCTTTCATAATGATGATGAGTGAAAAATAATTAGATATCTTTTAAAAGATATCAGAAGGAGGAGATGCACTGAAACTTCTCATTAATGTCTTACAAATTAAATTCATCTTTTATATTTTATTCATGGGATTCCAGAAACTGAGTCATTAAATGATATTGTATTGTTATCATTAAAAGCATAACCCACATAAACTCAGATGGAGTATGAATAAACCAAAATATAAATTTACTGGAATTTACCTGAAGGACAAAACTGTATAAAATGTTAAAGTTTCTGATCAGGATTGATAAACATATACATTTAAAAATCTACATAAGATGTGAATGATAGATATACTCTCTGTCATATATTGGTAAAAATATATACTACATGAGATCTAAGGAGCAAAAATATCACTTTAAAAACATTTACATAATAAATGAATGTGTTGTCACAATGTGACATTATCTTAGTACATAACATGTCTTTTAAAAAACTTTCTTTTCTCTCTTTAGTGTCAGTCTACTTGTCTATTTTGTTACCTACTAAGTATATATTTCATTTAAGATGGATTTTACTGTGCAAGACATACAAACCTATACCAAAATAGTAAACAGTGGGGGCTGGTGAGAAAATTTAGAAGAAATGAATTATAAATGCCACCATTTTTTTTCCCAGTGAGAAATTACAGAGACTTCTTGTTTTCTTGTTTATGTAAGCTTTGTTCCCCAGTGGGACTCTTAAATGCTGTAGGGTAATTACTTTCTGTCTCCCATTGTAGCCAATATAGCCATTGTAACATAGCAGTTGCTTTAAACTGCTAATTCTCCATCATCACAACTAATTGGTGATGTTGGGGATTATTGGGCTAGTGTTACTGGGACAATCCACTCTATTATTGGGACAATCTGCTCTAGTCATAATGGTTTCAATTTTTTTTTAGAAACTATTTTATCTCAAATGTTCTTCCCTTTTATGTGTCTATCACAGCACTTTACAAGCTGTTTTGAATTGCATACCTCATTGTAAAAATTTTAGCATGTTGCTTTCCTACTAGTATTTAAAATTTTATGTGGTTACTATTATCAGTATATAGGCAACTATTATTAAAACTTAATTTACATTCTGAGGAACACTAATCCTGTGATATGCCTCATGGAAAAGGGTTCTAAGAAAATGTATTTGGGAGTAACAGTGGATTTTGGGCCTCTCTTGTAGTCACAAACATTTAACACAGTGAAGTTTAGGAGATTCCTCAATAAAGAATTTGCTTAATATTACTTCCCCTGGCATTTTCTGTGCCTATTTGATCAGACACATATTTTTTAAGGATATAAAAAAATATTCATCCAATGTAATAGTTCCATAAAATGCTAGAGTTATTCACACATTTTAGGGTACTTTAGTTAGGTTCCCCCCTCCCCAAGCCAGGTAAGTACTAGAGAAGGCACACATTCCCTTGGAGTCATGTCTTGCTTAGTGCATTAATCTTTTATTTCCTCCAAAAAAGTTTCCAGAAGAGAAGAAAAACATTTTCAATAATAAACGGATCAAATTGCCTCTTAAGGCAGACAAACATTTTAGGGAAGCAGCAGGAGCAAATGTGCAACAAGAAAGTAGGCCTTTGTTTCATGACTAACTTAGTGACCATGATTAGAAGTCTATCAGTCCACAATCAGAATGGACTCGACTCCACACAGAGCCCTGTATGTTTGCAAAAGTTCAAGACTGAGAACAGTCAATGCCAATTAGTTACAGGGATTTTTCAAGAAGGAGAGAGAGAGACTCACTTGTCAGCTACAACTCTTTAAATTCAGCAATGAAAGCATTCCAAAGGCACTCTGAGTGATTGCTCTGACTCCTTAATTGCATCTTATTCTTCACTCTGCTCTCTAGATGGACTGCTAGACACAAATGTTCTGCTGTCAAATCATTTCTAGGCCTTGAGAGCTCAAAATAATCGGCCTAGGGTGGGTCAGACTTGATTATCAAGTGGCATCGTAGTAAGGACACCATCAAATTATGCCCAGCATTCATCCTACATCACAGATAACCTACTTTTTTGTGTTATTAGCATTTTCAAAT